TCTACTGAGTAAGACAGTAGTAGTGCTGAAAGACACAAACAAACTCTCAAATGTATAGTACTCCGTAACGAGTTGGGGCACGTTTAACTCCTAGATTAGAGTGGAATTTAGCGTAATAAAGCTTTGCACATGTCTAGAAAAGTTTGTGTAAAAATTATAATAAGCTCGCTATCTTATGAGTACATTACTAACGTTTTCCTTSTTGTACGTGYTTGCTTTTCAGAAGTGTTTCTGCGTGTTACTTTTYCCCCGAATTTTGTGATGTCTTGTTGTCAGGAAGAAAACAGCATTAGACGATGTAATCCGAGAGCTTCCTGGTGCAATACTCACAAAAAATGAACGAAAAATGCGCAAAAAGAAACTAATTCCTTGAAAGAAGTTTTGGACTTACCAAAGAACGAAGCCACAAGAAGAAGCAAAAAGATAAACCCTGTTTTAGCCATCATAGTAGGACGCCTTCAAGTTGCTTTTCCAAGAAATATGATGTGTTTTTTCAAGAATTGTGATAAAGGCATTTGTTTACCCAGAAGCACTAAACGAAAAATGCGCAAAAAGAAACTAATTGCTTACGAAAAGTCGTGGACTTACCAAAGAACGAAGCCACAAGAAGAAGCAAAAAGATAAACCCTGTTTTAGCCATCTTAGTAGGACGCCTTCAAGTTGCTTTTCCAAGAAATATGATGTGTTTTTCCAAGAATTGTGGTGTGAAGGCATTTGTCAGAAGCACCCAATTAGGGACCCCGTCTAAAAACTCAAGATGAGTTTATCCAATAACACCGAGGCAAACCTTCTGTCGCTATAGCGACGGCGCGTAACTTGAGGTAAGACATGACAGTTATCAAGACGAAATGATATTTTATTTCTCTGAGGGGGTAGGGGTTGGGGTTGTTTTTGTAAATTATAGTCCCGGCTAAATGCGCATGAATTAAGTTAGTAATTTAAGGTGACTGCCTAATGGAATCCATTGAACGTTCAATATAATTTGAGCCCATAGTGTGTGCGCGCACAACAACTGCTCAAAACCGCTGAATAACCAAAATTCTATTGAGTAACCATAAACGTTTTGAACTTCAACAGGGTAAAACCCTAAAGTTTGGAAGGGGGGAGGGATGTAATTATTAGTAATATCTTAATGTTATCTTTCTAAGAAAGTTTTATAATTATTTTTTCCTGAGTCATTGAAATCTGCCAACAATCTTGTAAGTATTCTGTATGGTTTTCGTTTGAGAATCAGCAGCAAAACAGTACCATTCGGAAATGAAATATGAGAAGACTGCTGTAACTGACATATGCTATAGTGGTTTCCCAGCCATTGTGTCCATGTTGTGTGTGTAAACTTTTCTTTCTTAGTAGTAATACAGCGAGGCTGATTAAATAGACTAATAATAGATTAATGTTGCACACAACACTGAGGACAAATCTGCCTTTAGATAGATATCTCGCTCTTTTATGCCTTAAACTTCTTATCAAACTCATTAATAATGAGGAAAACACAACAGAAATCACGACCGTGAAGAGTGTTGTAAATCTGATACAAAACTGTGCTCATTTGCATAAACTTACATTTCCTTATAACAGGACACCACAGAAACCAAGCTTGGGCTACCTGTGGTGCCATCCCCCTATGGAACAATACTGATGCTTCTATAAGAAGCATTGTATCCCACAAAATGTTTCTTCAGAAACTACAGAAAACATTCCTAAAACGTAATGCTACTTTAGAACATTTCACTATTCAGCAAACATATTAATTAGTTATGTTTTTTTCAATGTTTAATTAATACCAGTGTAATAACTTCGGCCCCGTCCACACTATGCCGGATAAATTTGAATCCGAAATTTTATTTATTCGGTTAGGCCTACCGTCCACACTAGTCCGGGCGAATCCGGAACAATTCTTCACCGAAAACGAATTTTTTCGAATACGGTCTCCAGAGTGGAACAATTTGAAAACGCCTGCTAGCCGTATTAGTGTGGACGGAGAACATTTCGTATCCGAATTTTTTCGAATACGATGACGTCATGATTGTCATGGGAACATGGCGGGAAGGCTGAAAATTCTCTGCGGGCTCAATTTCAGCTTCGATGCACGTGCTCAGATGTGCAATGAAGCGTTTTTGCCGCCTCTGATCGGACAAGTGTGGATGCGAAACATTTTATCCGTTTTCATGTGTGGACGGAAAACCTTTTTTTTCGGTTTCGGTGTGAAAGTTGCGGATTCAAATTTATCCGGCATAGTGTGGACGGGGCCTTAGTTTCCCCGATAACTTTTATTTGAGCATTTCCCCAGTCATTTATCTAAATCTAATTTAATTTAATTTACAATTTGTTTCCTACTTTAATTTAATCGTAGGAGGGCCATAATGTAAACTACTGGGAATCTATCTCTGGGAATACTAAAACTCAATGATATAATTAGTATATGTAATAGGACTCCATGCTGTCCAATTAAGAAACAATTAGACGAGGAAAATTCCAAGGACTGACAAAATTGGATGAGGCCGTAGTCCGAGTCCAATTTGGCAGTCAGAGGAATTTTTCGAGTCTAATTATTTCTTGATTGGGGAGCATGAAATCCCATTACCTATTAATTATATAGCTGCCTAATTAATCCCATATCAACAAGACCTACAGGTCCAATTAAGAAAATAATTGGACAGTTACCTATATGGGATTAATGAGAAGCTGTATTATTAATTTGAATAATTGTATATTTATGTATGATTTTCACTCAAACACTCTGCCATCGTTTTTCACGATTAGCTTCAAAAGACTCTTTCTATGTTTTCAAAATAAGAAATAATTATGGCAAATTTAACATCCGTTACGTCGGTGCCTTTACTTGGAACAAGATCAAAGATGAATTAAAAAGAACCAAACGTTCAAGTTCTACTGAACACTAATAATAGATCAAATTTTAAAAACTTACTAGTTACTCTGATGCACTTTACTCTTCGCCCATGGTTTCTTCCTTCTTTTCCTTTATGTTATTCTCTTTCTTTATTATTATTATTATTATTATTATTATTATTATTATTATTACTTTACTCCAATCTAATTACTCAGACTCAATAATAGCTGATCTTCACAGCTGGGTATCTAATGGCAAGAAAAACAAATTTTGAGAAATGAAAAATACAACAGCGCATGTCATAAGTATCACAACGCTGAACTGTTGAACTGAGCCTGCATTGCAGCCCGAACCAGTACAGCAGTATACATTGCATTCATCTATCAAGATGCTGCTGAGGTAGTTGGATCGCAATTGGCTGCAGGAACTTGCATCAGCTATGCAGCCTTTCTTGTAAATACTGCCTTCTCTGTCACTTGACGAGGACAACTTGTAGTCCATTTTATAACAATAGGAAGTGGTAGAACTGCATCTAGTTAAAATGGCTTTGTTTTCGCAGTCTTGGTACGATGAAGTCGACACACAAGTGTAGCAACTGGGATTGGCTAGGATAAAACGTTCACAAGGGTTAGAGCTATTATCTACCTATGAAAGAAACACTGACTTGCCCTTTGTGCCGTTACCGTGTTTGAGTGTTGTCATTGGTTGAGTAATAAACTCGCTAGCCGTGCCTGTTTCAAAGGACACTGGACTGACAACAGACAACAGACCGACCGACCGACCGACCGACCGACCGACCAACCGACTGACCAACCGACTGACTGACTGACTGACTGACCAACCGACTGACTGACTGACAATTGAAAACTTACATGAGCTTCCACCACTTGAGTCGCTGTTGCACGAGGAAGTATTACAGCATGTCATCTGACAGTTTCTCTTTAAAACAACAACAACAAAGTCAAATAAAGCGTAATAATATCGAAGTATACATTAAGAGGAAATGTTTTTCAATAATGAGCAATAATGGCAAAAATCGCCAAAAACTAGATTTTCGTTTTGGGTTAACACTCAAAACCTTTTTTAAGAAGTTAGAAACTGATGTACTATGATAAAATGCCTGTTTGAAGCGGTTTTCAATTGTACAAAGATGTTTTGTTGCATTTGTGTTAGAATGTTGCTTTGTCAGGCTTTTTTGTAGAAAATCTATGGAAAATAAGCAAATGAAGGCCTAAACCTCATTTTCGATTCAAATTTTTGCTTTGGGTTGACACTTTAATTCTACTTTCATCGGTCATCTCCACTTCCAAACTTTCTGAATAACAAGATTCTAGCCTTGTACAACAGCCTTTCTTCAAGAAAATAGTTTTTGGCGCTCACTGCATGAATATGAAAATAATTCTCTCTTAAAATAAACAAAACCTATCTATCCCAAATCCTTTCCGGTCACAGCTTTGTGTGTAAATAACTGTAAGATTGCGGTACGCAAGGGATCTCTGGTCTGTCGAGCCACTCGTTTTATTGAACCTCGTCTTAGACGTTTATACAAGTTAAGTGTCAGATCTAACTACTGTACACAAACTAGAGCAGAGTTAGGTTGACCAGAAGGACTTTCCTTAGTCGGTGTGGCTGTCAGTTGGGATTCCTTACTCTGATTCCTAGAAATAGCTTAATGGCTCGTCCTTATATAACCATGTGATCTAACTGAGATTATATTTACATCAAGTATCTAGACAAGTTTATCCTTGGTGGTTTGAATGTTTAGGTTAATTTTAAAGAGGTTTGTCCACAGGCAGCCCAATCTCGGTTTTTGTCTGCATGTATACACTTATTTCAATAAAGTTAGTCACCTGAAAAGCTACAAAGCTAAGACCGACAAGGATTATGGGTAGATTCATTTTACATGTTTTACCCGCTTGATAACTGTTGATGGACTTGAGATCTTCTACCAGTTACAAGTTAACCTCCTCTGAGCATCCTCAACTGCTGCAGTTTGTGTTGAAACCTTCACTGGTTAAATATGAAATATTTCCCATGATTCTCAGCGATCACAGTATTCTAGGTTTTTGTTGACTAACTTAATTGAAATAAGTGTATTGCGAAAATTCGATATTTATGAATCATCCTTTCAAGGTTTTTCTTACCTCATAAAATGAGGTTATTTTTCGTACAAATAACAACTAAAATAGACACCAGAAGTTCCATACAAGTCTATTGAACGATTTTGTTACAGATAAACAATGATTTATAAATATCGAATTTTCGCAATATGCATACTGACAAAAATCGAGATTGGGCTGCCTGTGGTTTGCCGAACAGGAAACTACAAGTAGATCTAAAAGTTAAAACAGTCTCGTTACTTGAATAAAATAAAATAAAACTAAATACTAACTAATAGTTTCTATTTAGTGACTAAGGCCCCGTCCACACGTGTCCGCAAATTTTTGTGTCCATATCCGCAAATTTTACGAAAACGGATACGTGTGGACGGTGAAAACGATTAGAATACGCTGCGTGTGGATGCAAACATTTTCGTATCCACAAAAAATAATTTGCGGATACAAAAATTTCCGGATACGTGTGGACGGGGCCTAATAGTCACTATTACTCAACCAGAACCTTTATTAAATAAAAAGTTTGTCTTCGTATGATGAATGTTCTGGTTGAGTGATAGCAACTATTAGTCACTAAATAGATACTATTAGTTAGTATTTAGTTTGTTTTTATTTCACGGTTTAATAGACCCTTTTCGAGTTCCAAATTACCGCTGTGTTTCTTGATTACAGACTCATTTACTCAGGCTAAGCCTCGATTTTGTGAAGAATATTCACGTTTTCCTGTCAAGGTCCGTCAAGCTTCAAAGTGTTTGTATTGTTGAACTTGTGCATTCTTTACTTTACCGTTGGTATTTGTAAATATTTAAACATTGATACGAGGCTAACCCTGTGCAAATGAGTCTGTAATCAAGGCACACAGCGGTAATTTGGAATTCGAAACTGGTCTATTGCATCCGCTCTATATGCTTCCAAAAACTTATCTCCTAGCCATTTACTTACTTTGTTTCTACAAGCACTCGTTCTATCAGAAGAAGTACAACTTGATCGGCATCCAGCATTTGTAACGCGACTTGTTGAGCCCGCAAAAGTTATGTCATAGGTTTTCCTATAGCAGTACCTTTGACCAGATGAGCAGGTCGTAGTAGCGGAGCAGCTACTTGATGACGAACTGCAGCTGTAACATTGCAATGCAGCAGGAGTTGCTATATATAGAAACATTAGACATCAAGGATTGTATAGAGTAAAATGCTAGCCATAATGTACGCATGTGGTCACGCAACTCAGTAACTGTTATAACTCTCGTAACATCATTCGTTACCAAGATAATAGCTATATCCTAAGGGAAGGTACGTCTTTTATTG